GTCAGGGGCCCCAGTTCTCATCCTGGCTCACCCCAGCTCTGGGGCCGCCTGCAAGTCGTTACCCTCCCTGGGATTCACTACCTTCAGGGCAAAAAGAGGCAATGGGACAGGAGATCCTCTCAGGTTTTTAGTCGGGGCTGGGAGAGGGAGAAAGTTGAAGATCAAGTATCCAGGGAGCTCAGGGCTAAGAGTGAGGGCGACAGAGACGTCGAGGCGGGTGAGGGATTCTGGGGGCTGTAATATTTGGGCAGGGTGCCTTCTCAGTGTTGGCCCTTCTTGGCAGAGTCGGAACAATGCTCAGTTTTCGGGGACCCGCATTACCGCACATTTGATCGCCTCAGCTACCGCTTCCAGGGCCGCATGACCTACACTCTGGTCAAGACCGTGGACGTGCTCCCCGATGGGGTGGAGCCCCTGGTCGTGGAGGGACGCAACAAGATGTATCCGCCTTTCAGCTCAATCTTCCTGCAAGAAATCATCGTGATGGTCTACGGCTATACAGTCCAGCTCCAGGCTGAACTGGAGCTTGTGGTAAGAGCTGGCCTGGGCCGGGAGGCTCTGGGGAGACAGGCTGGGCTGTGGGAGGCTGCCTGGAGCAGGTGAAGCCAGGACTCAGCATTCCCTGGGAGGTTCCTGGCAGGGGCTGCCTAGTTATAGAAGTCAGAATCAGTGCCACATTCACCACATGGGGACGGGCAGAGGAGGGCAGTGGGATTAAGCAAAAGGTTGGAGAGAGATGGGTAGAGAGAGGAGAGAACATGCAGTGTGAAGGTGGAGTGAGGCTCAAGAAGTACCAGGGGCATCTACTTTGCCAATTATTTTGCAGGGAAGGGGCTGGGGCTGCAAAGGGGGCAGACCTCAGGGAGGCCTTTGCCACACGGGATAGCGAAGGCTACTGGGGTATCTCGTTCCACAGAGTGACGGCTCTGAGAGGTACTGAGGTGTGCAGAGAGATGCAGAGGCAAAAGTGGTAGAGGGTCAGGTTGATTCAGGATGCCCTGCGCTTCCTGTCTTCCTTCTCCAGGTCAACAACCAGAAGATGGCCATCCCCTACAAGGTCAATGAGCATCTGCGGGTTACCATGCGGAGCCATCGCCTGTATCTGATCACCAACTTTGAGTTGGTCGTCAGCTTTGATGGAAGGAATAACGCAGGTACCTGCGAATGGGGACAGGAGAGCAGAAGAGAAGTTTCTGGAATGGGGGAGGGAAAACCACATCTTAGGCCAAGCACAGTGAGAGTGGGCTGGGAGTGGGGCCCCGAGCTTCAGGGGAGGGGCCAGGACAGGTGGGAAAGAGAAGAGGTGGGGAGTCTCACTTCTGGACGCCCCCTCCTCCTGCAGTGATCTCCCTGCCCAGCATGTACGAGGGGCTTGTGCGCGGCCTGTGTGGGAACTATGACCAGAACCGGAAGAATGAGTTTATGCTGCCCAATGGCACCCTCACCCAGAACCTCAACACCTTTGGCAACAGTTGGGAGGTGAAGATCAAGGGAGACCATGTCCGATTCTCAAGGTGAGAAGGCTGGGGCTCTGAGCAGGGAGGCCCAGGCCCGGGGGTGAGTGGTGGGAGGGGTGGGGGAGGTAAGCAACAGCCTGATATCTGTCCATACCCCGCTTACCCCATATCCTCAGCAGAGGAGGACACCCAAGGCAGGAGCCCAGCCAGCCAGCTGTGCCTGATTCTCCTCAGACCGACTGTGGGGGCACCTGCCCTGGGGGTCCTAGTCTGTGCCATGTGCTCCCTTACGCCCCCTTCCCCGTTCTCCCTCCCCCCTAAGTTCACAGTCCTGGGGGCCTCACCTGGCCCTGCGCTGTCTCTGCCCCAGGGCCATACAAGAGGAGGAAGAGGGAGAGGAGGAGTCAGGCTTCCATGTGTCAGAATGCAGCCCCGAGCAGCTGGAGCTCAGCAACAGCACCCAGGCCTGTAGGGTGCTGATGGACTCCCAGGGCCCCTTTGCCACCTGTCACCAGACTGTGGCCCCAGAGCCCTTCCATGAGTGAGTCAAGGGCCCCAGACACGTGGGAATGGCCTTTCTCCAGGTCCTGCTGTCGTCTGGGACCCGCACTCCCTTTGGCTCCCTTCTTTCTCTCTGTGGCTTCTATGCCTTGTGACCTGCCCCCCCACACACACACACCTGGCCTGATGTCTTTCTGTTGGGCTTCCCGGCCCGCTTCTGCAGAGCTGGGTCTCCTGGCCTCCCCTCTCTGACAATCCCCCAACTGTCCCTGACACCCCCCAGGCACTGTGTGTTTGATCTGTGTGCCGCCCAGGACCCCAGACAGCGAGAGGAGCTGCGCTGCCAGGTCCTCAGTGGGTACGCCATCATCTGCCAGGAGGCGGGCACCGCCCTGGCCAGCTGGCGGGACTACACCCGCTGTGGTGAGGCACTGACCTTCCCCAGCAGCTGGCCCCTGACCCCCTCGGCCATTTCTACCCTCTGCTCAGCTCTGAGCCCCCACCACCGGCCCCACCTCTGGCTTCCCGCCTTGGTTCCCCCATCCTTCAACTTTCACCATGTCAACGTCCTTCCAACCTCATCCCCTCTGTGCCCCGACCTGGGAAGCCTCACCCCCACCCATGTTACCCCATCCCGCTCCTTCTCACCAATGCCCATCTTTGCTCCTCCATTTCCTTCATATGCTTTAATGTCACATACGAAAGACACTCGACCAAAGCCGGCCAGCTGTTCTGGCTTCCCTGCCCACATAGTGCTCCGTGTTCTGTTGGGTGACCTGGGTCCCTTTCCAGCTTCCAGCCCCACATTCCCCATACTTGTTGGGCTAGCTCCAGCCCAGCCACCTTCTGACTATGACTCTGTCCCCTCAGCCTTGGCATGTCCGGCCAATACTGTCTATCAGAGCTGTATGACACCCTGCCCCCCCTCCTGTGCCAACCTGGCGGCCCCTGGGGACTGCGAGGGCCCCTGCGTGGAAGGCTGTGCCAGCCTCCCAGGCTACATCTACAGTGGCGCTCAGAGCCTTCCCCTGGCCCACTGTGGCTGCACCCACAACGGCATCTACTACCAGGTCCGGGCTGGGAAGGGGAGGCCTTGGGGCGGTGGAGGTGCCAGCCAGATCAGGTAGGAAAACCAGATGTTCTCCTCCCGGCCTTTCTCCCCTCCTCTCTGCAGCAGGGTGACAGCTTTGTGACTGAGGATTGCTCTCAGCGCTGCACTTGTGCCAGCTTGGGGGTCCTGCTGTGTGAGCCCCTCAGCTGCGGTGCTGGGGAGATCTGCACCCTGGGGAACCTCACTCGTGGCTGCTTCCGAGGTGAGCCTGGACCGCCCCTTGGCTCAAGCTGCCCCCATACCCCAGGGGCCCTGGACTGAGGACCGTCTCTCCCAGTCCTCTGCCTGGGACTCCTCCCCATCGATGTGTGGAAGTCCATGCCATTTAATCCGGCTCTTTTCACTTAGGCCTTTCCTTTTTTGGGAGGGGCAAATGGAAAGGGGCATCTGCTCTCTGCCAGGCACTATGCTGGGCCCTTTTCCTAGCGTTAGCCTCCCGCGATCTCCTTTAGTCCTTACTCAGCAGTTGGGGGTAAGCATAGCATCCCCGTTTTATAGTAAAGAACATGCAGTTCAGAGCGGGTGAGTGATTTCCCCAGAGCCCAGGGCTAGTGAGTGTAGAGCCAGCACTGGAAACCAAGCCGGAGGACCCCAGCCTGTCTCTGTGACCCGCCTCTGTCTTCCTTGGGATCCCAGCCCCCAGCCCCTCTCCTGGCTGCGGGTGTCCTCCCAGAACCCCCTCCCAACCTCCTCCACCCCTGCAGAAAGCCCGTGTCTACGGAACCCCTGTCAGAATGATGGGCGGTGCCAGGAGCAGGGACCCTACTTCACCTGTGAGTGTGAACTTGGTTACGGGGGAGACCTTTGCACGGAGCCTCGGGATGTGCCACCCCCCGAAAAGCCAGGTAAGAACTTCATCCCAGGCCCTGTATCCTCACAGTCCCCTCCCCATCAGCAACCGCCACAGCATTATTCCATGTAGATAATATTAACATAGAGCAGGTATCTATTACAGATATATAACAGATAATATATGTTATGATGGATAATATGTTATTAATATAATATAGATTATATATGATATAATAATATGATCTGTAGAGATTAGCAGGACCAGGGTCCTCAAGGAATCTCTCTGCCCATCTCCTACCCACATTCTCTGGAATCTTCTCTCTGAACCCTAGCTCCCTTCTATGATCTGCCTGCCTCACCCTGCTGTTATTTCCCCCTCTCATATCCCTCTAAGCCTTCTCCAGTACCTTTTATTGTTTTACTCTATCCAAAACTATCATTCCCTTGAGCATCTGGGCCAGTGGTTCTCCAACTTGACCTTTTGCCCAAGATGGGCTGGGCAGGGTGGGCTGGAGAGGGCCTGTTTCCACATCATTCGGGGACTCACTCTCAGAGATCCAGATTTGGTGGGTCTGGAGTGGACCCAGAAATCCACATTTTTAACAAGCTCCCAGGTGACTGACAGACGCGATTCCAGAGCTGCCACTCTTTGCTGGTACCCTGGGCTCCAGGGAACCAGCCGGATGAACAGTCCCCAAGAAGGCGTATGGGAGTTGTGTGTCCAGAAACAGAAAGGGCTCCCCGGGGTGGTGCTAAGGCCTTGGAGCCCTGGGAGCGACAGCCTCCAGGAGGGAGAACCAGCCATATCCAGGGATTTAGGGGGATGCAGTCCCTTCCAGGTGGCAACTGAGGACCAAAAGGGAGTGTCTCCCCCCATTCTCTGCGCTCTCACGTCCCTGTTTCTGTGCCCTGCACCCCAGAAGCATTCACATTGGTGGCCATCCTATTGGGAATGCTGGTGCCCATGGTGGTCGTGGTGCCTGCAGTGACCAGAGAATGCATTTCCAGGAAGAGGAGGAGGAGGAGGAGGAGGTGAGTTCTGGATGCGGGATGAGGAGGGGCAGCTGGGGGTGCGTAAACATGGGGAGTGGGCGCCAACCCTTGTCTGTTCCTCACTGCCCCCTAGGGAGGAAATGCAGAGCCAGAACCAAGACCCGCTGGTGGACACAGGTAAGAACCAACCCCACCGTCCAGAACCTTGGCCGCCAGGAGTCGAGTGTGCCTCTTATACAGGTTTTCTCTCTTTCTTCCTCAGATTATGTTCCAGAGCTTGCCTTCAAAGTCACTCAGTTTTGAATTGTCCTCAAAAAAGAAGAGATAAAATAAAATTATTTATTATTGAGGTGTGAATTTCCACATCCTTATTGTGGAGGAAGGGTCTGTGAGGTGGGTCTTGGAGGGGAGATAGAAGGGAGACAGGTGTGCGGGGTCTCAGGCTGGGTGCTCTGCAAAATGTCCAGCGGGATGGGAACCCAAGGTCTGAGGAGGTGAGGGGCTATCTGTCCCTTAGACAAAGCCACGTGGAGGTGGGCCATCAGCCCTCTGGCTCCTGGGACACAGGAGAAGAGACGGCACTTTTCCTGTCTTCACCCAGGAAACCCAGTTCCTAGAGGACTTGGCTCCTCAGCTCCCCACCAGGGGCTGCAGGAGTTTTGCTGAGGAGAAGTTTTACATTTCTAAGGATGAGATTAATTGCTGGGTAGAGGCTAAGGCTGGGGAATGTGGGTTTTTTGAAAGGGTAAACCAGCCTGTGACCCTCTGGAGGGTCCCCCACCTTCTGCAGTCATCCATTTCCCAAAAGGGCCTGAGGGTTACTGTGGTAACTGAGGGTGGGGTCTGGGGGCCGGCCTGCTGAGGAGTTTTGAGCTCTATCCTGGTAGGTGACCCACACACCTCAGCCTGAGGCCAAAGGGCAAACATTCTGACCCCTCCTCCAGTGCCTGTACCTCCCACTGGGCAGGTCCTTGCTTGGGAGAGGGGGCTGGGACATCCTGCTTAGGCTCTAAGAAGGAAAGGAAGACTACCAATTGGGGGGGGGATGAGGATGCAGGACCCCAAGGGACAGGGGATGCCAAATCAGGCAGGACACTGGGTTCTAGAAAGGAATCCTTACTGTTTATTCTCTGAGATGACCCCAGCAGCCACCTTCATTTAAGGAAGTGAGACCCAACCTGGGTGGGGAAAGGACCCGGGGAAGGGAGGGGTGCCCTGACCAGGCCACCCTGCCCCTTAGCTGGCAGGGAGCAGCTCACACTCTGAGCATGGCAGGAAGGCTCTGGACAGTCTCTGGAACTAGGCTGCCCATGCTTTAACCTGGGCATCACAGGGCTCCCTGCCACACGCCTGCCCTGACCTTCACCTGGTCTTTGACCCTTTGCCTCTGTTCTTCATCTGTGCCCTGCTCCCTTGACCTCTGCATCTCCCCTTGCTAGCTAAGGTCACCTTATCTAGCCAGGATGTCTGGTTGGCAAGGGAAGGGGGTGGCCTGGGCCGGCATTCTCCAGATAGACCTCCCTCTGGACCCAAACCCTCTCCATTCTCGGCAGGACTAAGTTCCTCCCACCCTCTCTTGGGGTTTCAAAACATGGGCGGTATGTCATCGGGGTGGGGGGGGCCAGGATTCCAGAAGTATCAGGGACTCCAGAAGAGGGTTGTAGAGGCAGGAAATCTGGGACAAGATCTCTGCCTGAGGCTCCCTGGGCTGGGAGGGGCAGCAACTGTGATGTGGGGTCCTGCACCAACCCCAACACGACACCAGGGGGCAAGTGAGACACGGAGGGGGCAAGGCTGCGCCAGCTGAACAAAGCCAGCCGGGCCGGCTGGGCCCAGGCCTGCCCCTGCAGGTGTCCCGAGGGCAGGCACAGATTGGGAGCAAAGAAGGAAACAGAGGATGGTGAGAAAGACAACAGGGGACTGACCCCATCCTCATCTTCCTGTTTGGGAGGGAGAAGTTGAAGACATTCAGGTGGTTTTCCCCTCCCTTTCCCAGGAGGCTGGGAGAACCTGCCTGGGCAGCATCTTGAAAGGAGGAATTGTCCTCCCCACCCAGCCCAGCATCAATGAGTGTGAGTGTGTGTGTGTGTGTACGTGTACACGTGGGGGGTCCATGGCCTCCATGCCAGCTCTGCCCCTCCCCCACAGACAATGCAGACACGCTTCCCCCATTGCCTCTAAACCAACCCCAGCTGTCAACATCTGGCCCACATTTGTCTCCTTCATCTGACTGGACCCCACCCCAGCGGATGCTCTGTCTTCCCCTTCAGGGTGCTGTAGGGCGGGACTGTGAGCTCAAGGCCTCCTCTGCTTCACACAGCCCCGTCAGGGACAGGGAACCAGGGCAGGGGAGGGAGTGGGCAGCCCCACTCCGGAGGTGCCCCAGGCTCTTGGCAGAGCCATCTGGAGCCGTTACAAGCAGCTGCCAATGACTCATCTCCCACTGCCCCCACCCCACCACCTCAAACACACCCTGGGAGTGGGAACCAAGCACCCAGCCCCCCACAGTCCTGTCTCCAGACCTCCGACCCCTCTCAGTTGGCCAGCTGGAAAGCTCCTCCATACCCAGACCCCACTCTCCTCAGAAATCCCACCCTCCGCTCCCAATCACCCCCAGAGCTGCGACACTTCCCATTTTCTTTTATTTATACAAAAAAATTGTTTTAAATATAATTTAAGAACCCCTCCAAGCACCGGTGTCTGTCTCTGGTTTCCACACCACTACCTTACCCCCCACCCCCCACCATGGACACAGCTCGGGGGTACTTGGGGGGGCAGGGGAATGTCTGGGGGTTGTGGTGTGACCAAGGCACTGTTCTGGAAACAGACACGATGATGGGTCCCTGCTTCAACTTGGGCAAAGGAGGCGATAATGAAACAGGTCCTCTCAACACAAAAAGTTATGACAAGGACGGTAGAAAAACAAAACAAAAACAAAAAAACGGGAAGGGAAAAGGAAAACAGGACCAAAAACAAATAATAAAACTCAAAAACCTTCAATATGAAGGCAGCAGATGGGGGAGGGGCATTTACAAGGGAAAACTGAGTTTGGTGGAGACAGCAGCAAGGTCGGGACACCGGAGTCCAATGATTCTGTCACTGGGCCACGACACCCCCCGCCGGGGCGCTCCACTCCAGAGCTCGCAGGCTGGCCACTTTTTTCTTTGGTCTGCAGGGCCGTGGCCCTTTAAGGTGAGGAGGGGCACCTGGGGGCCCTAAAAGGGGATCAGAGGGAGGCTGTGGGGATCGTGCCCCACCACTCCCAGGGGAAGTTGGCAGAGCATGGGCACTTCCTTTTCCTCTGGTCACACCCAATCCTGAGGGAAGGGCTCCACACCCTTGGTGTGGGGTTTCCCGCCTGGGGCGCATGCGATTTCTATACTCCCATATAGCAGAATCCCCAAATCCTGTGTCTCCAAATTGCCAACTCCCCACTCTCATGGGTTCAAAGTGCAATCCAGTGGGGCACACGGAAGGGGGACTCTTGGATCCCTGCCCCCCGACTCTGCCCCAGGGAAGATGGGGAGCTGTGTCCCCCGCTTGGGGGCTCCTGCCGCTCCAGAGCTGTGGGGCCAGGCGAGGAGGCACAGGTCAGTACTGGGGGGCTGGCGTTCCCGACCCGCCTGGGGCTCCAGGCTTGGCCTGGGACTTCATGTGCTGGACGCTGGCCAGGATTTTCTTCTGGTGCCCCGCCAAAGTGACTCCAATTCGGAGCAGGTCCCTAGGGAAGAATGGAGAGCTAGGTGAGGCCATAGGGCTCCTGGGGCAGGTCTCTTAGCTTAGCTCCAGAAACCGTCCCGACCGGGACTGTCAGCCAATCAGGAAGGCCAGCGGGAGAGGGGGGCATACGTCAATAGTTGCCGGGCAGGATTTAGGAGCCAGGCCGCAGAACTGCGCAGCCGCAGTGGGGGGGTGGGGCTAGGTATCCCGCAGGGGCCAGAGAGGCGGGAGGTGGGGGCTGCGGCCTGGATGCTCTAGCAAGGATTAGGAAAAGGAGAATCAGAGAAAGGGAGGAACGAGAGAGAAAAAAGCCCACAAAATGAAGTTGGGGGAAGGGGCTGCACAGATTGCTTCCAAGCATAAAGAAGTCAGAAGGAAAAGGCCAGAGAGAAATGGCTGGGTGGAAAGGAAGGGGAGGGAAGGGGCGAAACCAAACTGCGCCCCACTCCATCCTGATGCCTGGAGACTGAGATAAGGGAAAAAAGATGAGGTGGGAAGCAAGAACCTGTGACAAGGCCAAGCTGGGACTAGTCAGGGAGGAGAGCACCCTGCCCTGCCCGGGTTTCTGTGCCTTCTATTTCTGTTATTCAAACCTCCTGCAAGCAGAGTCCTTGGGAGAGAAATGGGAAAGCAGAAAGGAGGAGTACCAGCAGAGGCCAACTAGGGAAAGACAGTCTTCGGGAGGTGCTGGAATCATAAAACCATTTAATATTAAAGCTGGAAAGGATCTCCCAAACCCAGTCCAACCTTCTCCTTTTATGGGTGGGAAAACATCCAGACTTGACACGTTGTTAATGTGAGAGCAGGGTCTGGAATGCAGATAGATGCACAAAGATAGATACAGATTGTGAGGCCAGAAGCGAGATGGCCCAGGGCTAAGATGGTGCCAGGGGGTGAGGCGGGCACAGCTGGTCTGGAGGATTCCCTGGCTTTCAGCCCCAGCAGCTGTTACTGCTTTGAGGGACTCTACAAAACAGAGTTGTCACCAGGAGTTGACCTCAAAGGCTCCTGCTCAAACTGTGGCCCTGATTCTGGTCCTCAGGCGCTGCTCTGACTGCTCGGCTCTCACCCCCACCTCCAGCCCCTGCCACGACTTACTCAGCGGAGATCTGGCTGACCAGCTCGAAGGAGCCAAACCCAGCGGCTGCAAAACTTTCTTCGTATCTTCCCATCTTGATGGCTCGAAGCCACTCACCCACAGAGCCAAAAGCTGAGTAGTGAGGCTGCCGCTGATCCAGGAGTGGGTGTGAAGCCCTGGGAGGCAAGGATGGGGAGGATGCTGAGCCCAACCTCGGAGAGGCAGACAGGGACCATCCCACATACCACCAAAAAGACGGATACTTCTGGAGAGAAAGGGAGGTTCAGGGTGGGGGGTGTGGCAGAGTGCAGGAAGGCTCTTTCTCTGAGGTCCTCACCCGCCGTTCTCCCTGGCTATGATTTTGAGGCTGGCAGGGTTCCGGATCATCTTGTCGAGGGCACTAACCACCTGGGGAAAGCGGGGCCGTGCATTCCGGTCCTTCTGCCAACAGTCCAGCATGAGCTGGTGTAGGGAGGTGGGGCAGTCTGGGGGCGGGGGCAGCCGGTAGTCCTGTTCAATGGCATTGATCACCTGCAATGACAAGGAGAACC